ATACAAATATTTATTGATTACATATCACATACGTAAACATATGTATATATTGTTTCGTTTTTGTTAAAAAAATAATTATTAAGAGCGGAATATATATATATATTTTATAAAGTTCGAAGTAAGACCGAAATATTTATTCTATAATGTATTGCTTTCTCTTTCTAGTAACACTATTATAAATGGCTTGTGAGAGTTTTCGTATACCAAAACTAGTATGAGAGTTATATGCTTTAAAAACTCTTTTAATGTGAGCTTAACTCTGATTACAAGAATTAATAACTCTAGTAATTGCGCTCTTTTGCTCTTATAAAGATCTCATTAGGGTCGTTTAGTGTTCTAAAAGACTGAAATTATAAGAGTAATATTCTTGAAGAATTCTTAATATAGCTCTACAAGAGTCTTATGAGATGAAAATTTTTACTTGGGGGTGAAGATGGGAAAAAAAATCATCTAACGAAATGAAGTTTTTGTTAGTGTCTCAAAGCTGCTAAAATTTCAGGATCTCACAACCTTTTGTCTAGAAGAACAACGACATCAAAAATTTGATATTTTTAGGTAACGGTAAATTTGATCGACATAAAAAAGATATTTTTAGATAACGGTAATTTTAATCGACAATTTTGTTTTTTTAAAGTTTAACTATAATATGTCGCAATAGGAGAAGAAAGCCGCTGCCTTTCTGCGTTTGCAAAATTTGAAAAATGCTTATGGTTTCACTGTAATAGATAGTTAGAAAATGGTATATTTAGGGTCTTGGGAGGATATAACTTGTAGAAAGCGGGATATTAAGTAAACATTTTTTTCAATTGAAATAAGTTTCTAGTAAAGATCTAAAAGTCGACACATAGTCTCTTGAGAGAGGGTGGGCGCAGTACTTGCTTTCCATTTTGTCCCATGACTCTATCCTTCTCGAAGTATGCATATATAATGTAAAATAGGATAGTTTTTGAAGAATTATACGAAATATGAATAAAATATAGAATTATAAAGAGAAATTCGAGGTACTGCGTAGCCTAGTGGGTAGCGTAGTAGAATAATAGCCAGAAGGTTATTGGATCAATGCTTGCCTGGGATGTTGTCGTATTTTTCTTTTTTTGGATTATTTTAAAAATTTTTTTTTTATTTTGTTTAAATTTTTTGTTTTATTTTTTTTTAATATGTAACATATAAATATCAGTATAAAAGTTTAAAGAAAATTTCCAAAAAAATATTGTTATAATATTTAAGTACAGTTAAGTACATAAATATGTATGTATATTTTTTTTAAAGCTTCCCAACTTTAAGTTTTCAATATGAATTGAATAATATTCAAAACTGTGGTTTGGCATATAGAAATAAATTTTAAATATATACTAGTATGTATTAAATCATGAGGGTAAGCATACAGAAATAAATTTTTCAAATAAAGAAAAGGTTTAGGCAAAAACAAAATAATAATTGTATTCAAATATATGTACGAATGTAATTTTTCAAATAAAGGAGAGGTTTAGGCAAACACAAAATAATATGTATGTACATATGAATGTATTAGAATTTAGCGTTTTACAGTTTTTCGCTCAAATAAAAATAAAATTTTAAATACATACGTACATAAATTGTGTATGTACATTTTTTTAAAGCTTGCTGAAAATACATAATATGTATTCAAAACAATAAAAAAAAATCTGATGTGGTCACCACATAACCGACCGCATTGTGTATTGTCTAGTTAAATGAAAGTGTTACAGAATATTATAAAAATGACTGTTAAATACTTCTTTCCAATTTTTAGGACAATAGTAAGCTTATAATTAACATACTTAGAAAAATGTAAATTTGGCTCTTAGTAGAGTTTCGCTTTGTGCTACCCGAATTCCCTTAAATGCTCGCCAGTTAGTTTCGGTAACAACCAGAACTCAAATATCAAATTTCAAGAAATTCCATCAATTTGTTCTGTGGATATGGTGAAAAATGTAAAATCGGCCCGCAAATCAGTTCTCGAGCCCGGATCTTTCCAGAAAAGTTATATGTTCATTGCTTTAATATGAGAAATTCATATATTAAATTTCAATGAAATCGGTTGATTATTTCTCTTTATATACACAAAAGTGTATGTTTGGCCCGTCGTAAACGTCTAGTTGCCGATGCCTGATCTTTCCAAAAAATTTACATGTTCATTGTTTTAATACGGGGAATTCATATATTAAATTTCAATGAAATCGGTTGATTATTTCTCTTAATATACACAAAAATGTATATTTGGCCCGTAGTAAACGTCCAGTTGCTGATGCCTGATTTCTTCCAAAACATACGAATTTTTGCGAACGGTCGAGTTGAGCTTATATATAAAATTTCAAGTAAATCGGTTCAATATTTTCTTCAAAATGTTCAAAAATGTAAAACAGGCCCGCTAAAAAGTGCAGTTCCCGAGGCCTGATATATACCAAAAGTTGATCGATCCGTGCCATGGTGGAAACAAACTTACATATAAAATTTCATCAAAATCGGTTCAGCCGAACTTGAGATACACGCGTGCACACACAGACCGACAGACCGACAGGTTGCTAAAAATAGTTTATTTACACTTCCCTACTATGGAGAAGTACGTTTCCACCGAAAACTCGATATGCAAAATTTGTTGCCATCACATAACCTACCTACTGTTTACACAATACGGTCGGTAATGAAGCATCAATATTCAGTTGCCACAAAACATCTGATGTTTTTCATAAAACCTAACATTTATTATACCCTGCACTTCGTGAAGGGTATATTAACTTTGGTATGGAGCTTGTAACTACTTAAAGGAGCCATCTGCGGTATGGACATATATATTTATTCTTGCTCAGCGTAAAATTCTGAGTTGATTTAGACATGTTCGTCCATCCGTCCGTCCGCCCAATCGCACGATAACTCAAAAACGAATAATGCAATCGACACCAAACTTTCACAAGTTGCTTCTTTTGTGCCAAGGACGAACCCTATTGTTATTGGACCAATTCGGACAACGGGTTCGGGTAGCTGCTATACAACTCAAAGAGTTTATTTTAATTATTTCAAAAACTAATAAGGGTACAAATATAATATTTTGTATACATGTGTCCAATTATATTCTACATATGTTCTAAAAATTATAATGGGGCAGCTGCACCGGTTCGGGTGGCTGCCATACAACTCCAAAAGCAAATTTTTTATATTCGGCAAAATAATAAAGTCAGATTCATGAAACTTGGCAGTTGTGTGTCCAATTATAGGTCAAAGATATTTCTGAAGTTTTGGTGGAATTGCTTGACAGGTTCGAGTAGGTCCCATACAAGCCCAAAAGCTTACTTTAAATATTTGAAAAAATAAAAAAGTTAGATTCATGAAACTTGGCAGTTGTGTGTCCAATTATAGATCAGATATACCTGCGAAGTTTTAGTGGAATTGCTTGACAAGTTCGGGTACGTGCCATACAACTCCAAAAGCTTATTTTACATATTTGGAAAAATAATAAAGTCAAATTCATGAAACTTGGCAGTTGTGTGTCCAATTATAGATCAGATATATTTGCGAAGTTTTAGTGGAATTGCTTGACAGGTTCGGGTACCTGCCATACAACTCCAAAAGCTAATTTTAAATATTTGGAAAAATAATCTGAAATTGCATCTGAAAAACATGAGGCTTATTTAAGATTTAAACGCCAACAAGTATCATATAACGAGTATAAGATAGTGAGAAACAGAATAAATATTGCAATAGACAACATAAAAAAGAACTACTGGGAAAACTTCTCAAACGAGATGGAGCACGACCTATACGGTGCCCAGAAAAAGGTTTGGAACATGCTGAGGAATCGTAAGAAACGAATTAACGAGTACCTGACATTCTCCAATATACAAATCGAGGCATGGGAGGAATATTTTTGTGACTTATATAACAGTGTGGCCTTACCAGATGATTACAGAAACAATAACCAATCATATGCAGGCGGAAGAGCATATTATTTATCCTGCGACATTGTTAAGGCGAACATAAGCAAGCTAAAAAATAGAAAATCTGTCGGAATTGATGAAATTTCGAACGAAATGATAAAGTATGGCGGAGAGCAGCTTCAAAATGAAATAGTTCACCTATTCAACAAAATTCTGACATATAAGCAGGCCCCCAGAGAGTGGAAAAACAGCATAACTGTTCCCATTTTTAAAAAAGGAGACAAGAACTTGCCAGAAAATTATAGAGGGATAACTCTTCTAAGTTCCATGCTGAAACTCTTTACAAAGATTGTGTCAATAGAAGTTGCCGGCACGGGTATTGCAGAAGAACAGCAAGGCTTCCGTACCAATAGATCTACCACTGATGCAATATTTATTCTGAGACAAATTACAGAACAGGCGATAGAATTCAACTCACCAGCTTATCTTTGTTTTATTGATCTGACCAAAGCATTTGATAGAGTTCAACTACATGACGTCATAGACCTGCTGAAAAAACGAAACATCAACTCAAATATTGTAGCAGTAACTGAAGATCTGAACACCCAAAATAATACCTTCATTAAAGTGGGAAATAACCTCTCAAACCAAGTCCCGACAGTAGCAGGCATCCGCCAAGGAGATAGCCTAAGTCCAGTTCTCTTCAACATCATCATGGACGAGATTATAACTGTAGTAAAATCATCCGCCAGCGGTTACAATATAGGGGATCTTGAGTTGAAAGTGATCTGCTACGCAGATGACGCTGTATTGATCTCAGACAACGAAGATGATCTACAAAGGTTACTATATGCATTTGAAAAGGCTTGCACAAGTTTCAACATGCTAATATCAACAAGCAAGACAAAATCAATGACTATATCAAAGCATCCACTCAGAGTTAAACTAGCTGTATACAACCAACCCATAGAACAAGTGATGGAGTTTAAGTATCTCGGTAACTTAATAACATCTTCCAGAGACCTGAGCAAAGAAGTTAAAACACAGTTCATAAAAGCTGCCTCAATATCTGGATATTTGAGGGACGTTATCTGAAAAAACTCTTACATGAGAATCAGCAGCAAAGTCAGGATTTACAAAACATGTGTAAGACCAGTTTTAACATACGGTGTCGAAACAAGAGCTGATACCAAAGAAACGCAGAGTAAAATGCAAACCGTTGAAATGCAAACTTTAAGAACAATAGCAGGGTTTACTAAGCTTGATATGATGCCAAACGAAGAAATAAGGAAAATATGCGACATCCAAGATATTAACAAGTGGAGCAAAAGAAGACGTAAAGAATGGAAACAACATGTTCAGAGAATGCCCGAAGAAAGAATTGCCAAAGCAGTCATGATTGAGAGGCCAAATAGCCGCAGACTACCTGGTAGGCCCGAAAAAAGATGGCGAGAATGCTGGACATCCGGATCCTCCGATCTTCATTGAAGGCCTCTTGTGTTCATTATAAAAATACTTATACAAGGATATGAATAACATATAAATGCCTTTTAGGGGTCATTTATTATAATAGAAAAATGTAAATTTATATAATATGTATTCTATGTTTTATAATAGAAGCTTTTGTAAAAATAACGGGAAAATTTCCTAAATAAAGAAGAAGAGGAAAAATAATAAAGACAGATTCATAAAACTTGGCAGTTGTGTGTCCAATTATAGGTCAAAGATATTTCTGAAGTTTTGGTGGAATTGCTTGACAGGTTCGAGTGGCTCCCATACAAGTTCAAAAGCTTATTTTAAATATTTGGAAAGGTAAAAAAGTTAGATTCATGAAACTTGGCAGTTGTGTGTCCAATTATAGATCAGATATATTAGAGAAGTTTTAGCGGAATTGCTTGGCAGGTTCGGGTACCTGCCATGCAACTCCAAAAGCTAATTTTAAATATTTGGAAAAATAATAAAGTCAAATTCATGAAACTTAGTAGTTGTGTGTTCAATTATAGGTCAGACATATCCGTAAAGTTTCTATAGAATGGTTTCACAGGTTTGAGTAATTGTTATACAACAATGAAAGGTGCAGGGTATAATTCAATCGGTTCATACCGACTGAAACGTTTTTACATGTTTAAGTTTATTTCGATTTTTCGAACTTAAAATATGTGATATCATTATATTATTGTTCCATATATTTTTTAGATTTTATTAAAATAAATGCATTTACTGGTGTTTATAGACTTGTGGTTTGAAAATTTCAGAATGTCGTTCTGTTTAACTGTTTTAATTTTGGAAATAACAACATAACATAAAATTCTTAACATTTCAACATAAAATTCTTAAATTCAACATAAAATTCTTAACATTTGCTTGATTATTAAACAACATTTTTTCAACTACATATAGGTAGTAGATATTACCAATTAATATTCATTTCTGCGATTGATAACAGTTTTTTCAAAAACGAAAATAAAACATAGTAGTAGAAATTCATAACGATCATGTAATTTTTAAATTAATTCTAAATTTTTTGTTGTTAAACAAAAAAAAAACAAGTAAAAACGTTTCAGTCGGTATAAACCGACTGAATTATACCCTGTACCTTTCGTTGTTGTATAGCAATTACTCGAACCTGTGAGACCATTCTATAGAAACTTCACGGATATGTCTGACCTATAACTGGACACACGACTGCTAATTTTCATGAATCTGTTTTTATTATTTTTCCAAATATTCAAAATAAGCTTTTGTGGTTGTAGCCAAGTCGTCGAACCTGTCAAGCAATTTCACTAAAACTTCACAAATATATCTGATCTATAATTGATATAGATCTATAGTTTCATGAATCTGACTTTATTATTTTTCCAAATATTCAGAATAAGCTTTTGGACTTGTATGGGAGCTACTCGAACTTGTCAAGAAATTCAACCAAAACTTTAGAAATATATCTGATATAAAATTGGACTCACAACTGCCATTATTACTTATTATTTTTCCAAATATTTAGAATAAGCTTTTGGACTTGTATAGGAGCTACTCGAACCTGTCAACAAGTCCACCAAAACTTCAGAAGTATATCTGACCTATAATTGGACGCACGACTGCCAAGTTTCTAAAATTTTGCAAAATATTTAAAATTAGCTTCAGGAGCTGTATGACAGGTACCCGAATCTGTCAGGCAATTCCACTAAACCTTCAGAAATGTATTTGACCTGTAATTGAACACATGACTGTCAAGTTTCATGAGTCTGACTTTATTATTTTTCCGAATATAAAAAATTACCTTTTGGAGTTGTATGGCAGTCAGCCGAACCGGTGCAGTTATCCCATAAAAATTTTTAGAGCATGTTTAGAATATAATTGGACACATGTATACAAAATTTTGTATTTATAGCTTTATTAGTTTTTGATTGTCCGGCGGATTGGGCCACGAAATATCCGCAGTAAGGTATACTTGTGGTAAGAGTCTACTAAAATCCAAGACACGTATGAGAAGAAACTAACGAGGCCAGTCAAAGTTATGGCTAGAAATCTCCATTCATCGTGTGAGCCAGAGGATATAAAAAAAAGAGGTTATTAGCAAAGGCTTTAAATGTCTAGATGTTGTAAATAAAATCAAAAGGAAGAAAGAAAATGGAGAATATATTTCAGTAAAACTTCCGCTCTTTATGTTATCTTTTAACCATTCAAAAGAGATAACTAAGATCTATAAAATAGAATACTTACAGCACTTGAGAGTAAAAATTGAAGCTCTTAGAAGCAGCAAATACATTCCGCAATGCAAGAGATGCCAGAGATTTGGACACACACAAAAGTTTTGCCAAAGAGAGGCTAAATGTGCAAATCATATCACAGCAGAGTGCAACAAGAAGGATCATTTTCAGCCCAAATGTGCGAACTGTAATGAGGCACACAATGCTAGCTGTCGAGGTTGTTTGGTTGCAAAAGATTTGCCAAAAAGAAGATTGAAAAAGAATAAAACCAAACAAAACCAAGGTAAATTTAATGAACAAAGAACTCTAAAAATAGACTAAAATAACACACCTAGCAGGGTGTTAAAGGGAGTGTCGTATTCACAAGCGCTTCAAAGCAAAACCCCACAAAACAGGAAAATTAAGGAACCTGAGAACAAAACCCTACAAATAAAAAGAATTGACGCAGACATTTTGCAAATGATGCATAGTATGTTGATTAGAATTGACGAGATCTCTAAAAGATCATTAAAAGTAGAAAATGCATACACTGAAGTGTATACGGGGACACCAAAGAAATTAAGAAAAGATTTACGTAAATGAGGTACGTATAGTAAGTTGGAATTCTAATGGTGTTCTTAATAAGAAACAAGAATTGGAGGTCTTTTTCAAAACGAGAAATATAGATATTTGTTTGCTGTCGGAGGTTCATTTGACATATTATGCGAGCCTTAAAATAAAAGGCTATGATTGCTATAAAGCGGTATATCCCAGCAATCAGCCAAGAGGAGGTAGTGCAATACTAATAAAAGAAAGTATAGAACATAATGAAAAATTCAAGATAGAAACGGCTGAAATTCAGCTTATTTCGATAAAAATTAAATCGACTAGACAGGACTTTAGTGTTGGTGCTGTATGCTGTCCACGAAATCGCAGCATAAAGAAAAATACTTTTAAAGATCTCCTGTACAAGCATGAACACAGATATCTAATAGGAGGTGACTATAATGCCAAACATACAGATTGGGGTTCTAGAATCATCTCAACTAGAGGAAGAGAGCTAAGAAAAGCTATTCAAGAGCTAGGTTGTTGCAATCACTCCACTGGCACTCCTACTTATTGGCATACTGACACTAACAAGATTCCTGATGTTATTGACTGTTTTATAACCAAAAAAAAAATCAGAAAACTTTCTAAGCCTTGAAGATAATGATCTGATGATAAGACTGTTTCAAACAGACTTTCCCAGGTGCTTAAAAGAAAAATCCAAGAATTTAAATCGGCAACGTACGAAAATTATATAAAGAACTTGTCAGCTACGAAGGAAACGAATTATTCCTTATGGAAGGCGGCAAAGAGCCAAAAGAGACCGATTAGGCAAGCTCCGGCATAGATGAACGCAAATGGCAGTTGGGCGAGGAGCAATATAGAGAAGACCGAATTGTTTGCTGATCACTTGGAAAACATATTGACGCCAAACGGAATAACCTCAGATGTAAGTTTGATAGAATCTATTGCAAGTGAAGCAGACAGCATAGCTCCACTTACTCAATTAGAAATTGCGGAAGAGATAAGATCCTTGAAGCTGAAAAAATTGCCAGGTTTTGATCTTATTACTACGGAAGTACTGAGAGAGCTACTAGACGAGGCATTGGAACATCTGACGAAAATCATGAATGCAGCTATGGATTTTGGATATGTTCCTCGTGCTTGGAAAGTCGCGGAGGTAATTATGGTGTTGAAACCCGGGACATCCTTGAGGGAAACAAAGTTTTACAGGCCCATTTTACTGTTACCAATGATGTCTAAGCTTTTTGAAAAGCTGCTATTAAGGAAATTGAAGCCAATAATAGAAAATAGGGGCCTAATACCGAACCATCAATTTGGTTTTAGAAGAAACCATTCTATTATAGACCAGGTCCATAGAGTAACTAATATTATAGAAAAAAGCTTGGAAAATAAGGAAATCTGCTCTTCCATGTTTCTAGATGTAGCACAGGCATTCGACAAGGTATGGCCCAAAGGCCTTATACTTAAGTAAGGGCAAAGGTTACCATCGTCATTTGTAGAAATTTTGAAATCTTACTTAGCTGATAGATTATTTAGAATTAAACAAGATGCTGAATACTCCACGCTAAGAGAAATAAAGGCAGGTGTGCCTCAAGGCAGTATATTGGGCCTAACATTGTACCTGCTTTACACGAGTGATTTGCCACAAATAGAAAATGCTACGATAGCCACTTTTGCTGACGATAATGCAATATTGGCAGTAGGAGCGAACATTGACGATTCGACAAAAAAATTAACATTCGACAAGGCAATTAACAAAATAGCCCAGTGGACTAGAGATTGGAAGGTAAAGTTGAATGAAGCAAAATCGGTTCACATAAATTTCACCAATCGGAAAATAGTGAGTCCACCACAAATTAACGTAAGAGTGGGGTTGTGTCAAGAAGACTCACATTAACAAAATTCAAACCTTCCAGAACAAAGTTCTACAGGGCATGGTATATGCGCCATGGTATATACGTAACAGTGATATCCACAGGGACTTACTAATTCCTTTGGTTGTGGATGAAATCGGGAGTTGTCCTACAAAGCATAGGGCTCGCCTAGAACAGCATGTAAATATGGAAACAGCTCGGCTGCTAGACAATGGCATTATGATAGAAAGACTTAAACGAATAAGACCATTCGATTTAACACGAAATACCAATTTCCTTATGGAAGGTATATATATCCTGCACGGAAAAACCAAGTTGGCGCAGAGGTAATAGTTGGTCTGTAGGACCAGTTTTATCC